ATAAATAAATAAAGAAAGCAATGATCTAGTATAGAAAAAAAAGTAACTAAAATAAGTGTGTAAATGATCGTGACACGAACCGCGGCCTTCTGTTTCGGCGCCGCTCGATTACCGATCGGATTTTTTTTTTTTTTTTCGGCCAAATTTACCGTCATTTTCGAATGATATTTTTCATTCCCTGAAAACAGGGATAAAAGGACATTTTCTAAAAATGAAACCTAGCTTAATCGATTTTTCGCCAGTGTGAAAATTAGGCAGTAAGCGTTTTCGCGGGCTCCTAACCCGATTTGTATTTATCTTGTCGTTAACTGAGAAAACAGAAGTCATCTATTAAAAGAATGAATGAATGAAACAAATGGAATGAATGAATGAATGAAATATACTTTAATGTACACTACAACTGCAATGAATAATGAACAACAAAGAATACAAATCTATACGATAGGCGGCCTTATCACTTACTAGCGATTTCTAAAGTTATCGTAAGATGCTACAAAAACGGAAAACTTTAAAAACTGCGAGTTTTTAAAGTGTTGAACCAAATGCGGCGGGTAAACATACTGTGATCCACTAAGCCGGATTTGGACGTATAACGAGATTTTCACGGTCGACAGTCAGCATGCGATGTTACAGCATTTATTATAGGTGTGGCTTCAGTCAATGACCTAAACGTTGGCAATTATCGATTTAGTAGTATAATTCCTATAACAAGGCTTGTATAACCGTGTGGTGTAGTGGGTAGTGTACCTGCCTCCTGCACCAGAGGGTGTTCGATTCCCACTAGTGGATAAATACTATGTGATGAACGTAGTGTTTTACTGGTGTCTGTGTGTTTATAGATGTCGGTATAACATGTATTTATTTACAATAAAAAGTATGTTTCTCAATTATCCGTTATCAAGTACCTATAGTACAAGCGTTGCTTAGTTTGGAACTAGAGAACGTTGTGTAAAAATGTGTCCTAAAATGTTTATTATTATCTTAATATACTACTAGATCGGGGCATAAAGTTCAGGGCCATCTTTTAAAGTTGCCAATGTGGCCAACGAGCAAACAGTTTATTTTTTATGTTATTTTATGTCTATATTACTGTGATAAGACTATGATAGAACTACGACCGCAATTTTTTTTTTAATGTGAAAAGTTGCCAAACGAGCAGAAGGTTCACCTGATGGTAAGTGAATACCGCCGCCCATGGACATCAGCTACACCCGAGGGTTACAGATGCGTTGACAACCGTCGAAAAAAAAAATATATCTTGTAATATTTCTTTTTGCCTATAGTTGGGCTCCTAGTAAAATCTGTAAAATAAATTGGACCATAATTGTCTCAAACTTTATTCTGTCTACCCATGCAGAGCCTTTCGTGAAAGATTTATATAATTTGTCTAACTTTTTACATTTATTGAATTAAGTAGATCTTTAATCATGCAAAAAAAATATCATACGATGCTTTCAATAATTTTAAACATTTATGCCACACACACACACAAATCACAGTTATAGTGTAGAAAACGTTAAAGTTATTTTTTTTCCCTACTATGGCTCCATGATTTTGCCAATAACTAAGAACTTTGAGATCAACTTGATAAGGTTAGGACAATGAAAATATATAATATTTTGTTTAAAATTATTTCATTTGTGTACCTGTAAACAAAGGAACAACACAACGTTAGTAACATGCAAATTAATAATGGAAGACAACACTCAGTTAAAGTTATTGAAGTCTGCCGCAACTGTACAAAAGTCAACACTATTCTAAAAATACAATACAGATATAAAATAAATACAATACAGCTAAGATAATAAAATACAATACAGCTCACGTATCAGTATTTTATCGTGTTTTATATCGTTTTTAAATCCCCGACGCTTCAATTCTACAGCGTTCATAGTCATTGGAAAGGTCGAGTTTTTTACGTCCTAATGTAACAGTTACCCTGGACTAACTTGAATCTTGATCTAAGCAAAAAGAGCTATAGTATCTTGAGATCTTGTAGCGTAGGTTTTCTTGATACAAGCCCTCAAAATACCTAGCTTATCTCGGGTACTTGTGTTATTTAATTATGTGATTTATTCGCGTACATTCAAAAAATCATCTCTATGTAGTGAATAGATAGGTAATTACATAAATGAAACAGACATTAATGTTATAGACTACAAGGGGTTATTAAAGATTGGGCGGTGTACGTTTAGCTAAAGGGGGTTGAACGAAATATAAAGGTGGAGAAAATGGACATTGAAACGGATTCACGAACACGTTATCACTCGCAGCGCAATCAATATAAATCACTCCCGCTCCTCACTTGTACCATACATTACTCGAGTAATTAATAACCTGCCGAGAGCAGGGTAGATTAATCAGAATTCCCTTTATCCTAACGACATTATCGGTTAGTAGAGCAGTCTATTTTTCACGCGACTTGACTTTGAGTCGATGACTCCGCACATATACTTAGATAACAACCTATAAATGTATACATCCACTGTAAGGCGATTATTCGGTACGGTTACAGGAACATACTGACGTATATACTGAGTCGAATGGGGAGTGAACTAATACTAAGCTTCCGAAGATTTCAGTCCGTTTAATGACTTTTGCTGACTCCGTGGCGCAGTTGCCAAGGTATTGGCTTCGCAGTCGGGGGTCGTGGGTTCGATTCCCACACGGGACAAATATTTGTGTGACCCACGGATAGTTGTTTCGCATCTGGGTGTTTGTCCGCATGATATTTATGTTTGTAAAACGTCCCTACAACACAGGATAATGTTATACTAAAGTAAGGGGCAATGTTTTTTAAAAAAAATGTACTTTGGGCTGAAGTTGAACAATACCTAAATTTTAAACGAATTTGTGTACATTGTAAAATCAGTGTACTTGTCTACTTTAACTTCTATACAACAAATTACAAGTATTTTTGTATTTTTTGGTATTATATTACTTTGGTTTTATTCTTGTTATTTCAGTTATTGCAGCATGTGGTGTTTGTATTATTTTATCGTCATAATCATCATTTCAGCCTGCTTGAGTCCACTACTGAAATAGGCATCCCCACAGTCTATCACGAAGCACGATCCTGAGCCACCTACATCTACCGACTTCCCACTTGCATTATTTAACTGCTTCTATGAAAGTATAATTATACGTTTTTGTGTTTACAGTCATTTACTTTCATTTCAATTAATTAATTCGCCATAAAGCGTCATAAATGAATAAACATCAAATGCCGTCCCAATTCCTCAGCATTAAAATCGATGTCGCCAACGATGCATATGCAAATCTCGCTTCTGAAATCGTGAAATTCAGAGAGAGAGCTGTCACCGGCTGCAATAGTATTAAAGCGGATTGAAATTGGCTCTACCTCTCTCGGAAAAGCCGAGCTAGATTTTGCATTGACCTTGACCTCGTGTCAGATATAATTTTAGCCAGCTTCTATCTATTTTGTATCTAGCTAGACCTTTGTGGTGTATGTGCTTTCCACACTTTACTTTAAGTCCCAAAGCATGACAGGTCTTGAGCGAGTCGCTAAGGTCTGGTATCAAAGTGAGGCAGTGAAACAAACAGCAAAAATTTTATTTCTTTTATTTTTTGTTAATTTTAGTTTTTTTTTCTCTTTTATTGTGTGCGTCCTTTTTTTGGTAAATAAATGGATTTTCTTTCTTTCTTTCTTCTTTCAATGATATTATATAAAAACACGAGGTAGATATGACACTAGCATACCGAAATTGAGGCACTCAAATTAAGCCAATCGGTGTAATTAGATTGGAATTCTATAGAATGCAATCTATTTCCATATCATACGTTCTACATCATCTGTCACATTCACTTATATACGGTATATAATGTAAGGCGGAACAATTTTTAAACGCCGCGAAGTATGCACTGTTTTAAAACATTGAAGACTATTAACTGAATTAGTTTTACACCACACACTCCACTGCGTATTAGAGGAATTCACGTATCTTCGAAATATTTTTACTGCTATTTGGAAAATATGTAGCTTTCTATGATAAGTAAGCACTTAAAATTGCAATTAACAAATTCATTGGTGCCGGCAGCGGGATAAAACTCGGGTTGCTCGATTATATTGAATTACAAGTGAGGGCCCGGACAGTGGTGATCGTACCGAGTGACAGTATTGAATCCGATTCTAAAATACTGCCTGTTGACCTGCGACAATCGCAAACAAAAAATATTTTCAAAAGAAAATTGTTTGAGCATATCCTTGCTGAGTCTTAGCTACCTTAATAGTAGTACTGTATATTTATAAATATATGTATAAGTATACTCATCTACGTATGCTTATGTTGGTAGTTTTTAGATTTATAACCTTATGAAATATTTTTTTTGATTATGTAACGATTACAAGTAGTCTCTGTTGGTTGTCTCTACCTAGGGTTAGCTGCTAGAGAATGCAATATAGCATTAAGCTCGCCTTTGTACAATTCTTAGTGCAATAAAGATTAAATAAATAAATAAAATAAAATGAAAACTAAAACTGATAAGCGAGTGATCAGTTGACATTTGGTGACTTTTTTGTATTAGAGACAAAACTAGTTAAGAAATGAATAGATTTTACTTACTCCAGAGCAAACTTATTCACCACTGCTAGAATTCAAACCTGCGTCATCCTGACCACGCGTCCAGACGCTAAAAGCCACTAAGCTAAGCGGTTGAATCCTAACCGTGAGAATCTCGACGTGTTATCTAATTTGATTTAGCATTTTTTAACAACACCAAGCATTCAGTTATCTAATGTGATTCGTTTACTAGGTAACATATCTGGTTTTCGAATATTGATTGTGAAAATGTAATCAATGACATTTTCACAAGTAATATTCGAAAACTAGAGAGATCGCTTTATCTGTGGAGAGACTAGCACTAAAAATTAAAATTAAACAACCCTTTGATTTTTCAAACGGCTGGTCATCACTTCCGATTAAGCGAACCAAGAGTTTCTTTACCATCAAATGAAAGAACTGGTTATTAATTACACTCACCTGCGGCAGATGCTTGTACCTCCGCGGCGTCTGCGTCCCGCCCGTCGAACATTTGCCGTTCGTTCCCTGCGCGGGGGTTTCCCGCTTCGGCTGCTCGGGCCTCAGTATCGGGATGTTGTGCTTCTCGAAATAGCCGTTCTGTATCATTTGGTCCAGGGACACCTCCAGCTCCCTCACCGCCACCAGCTTCCGGCCGCACACCGGGTCGTCGACGACCATCTTCCGGTTGCAGCCCGACACCTCGGAGAACTTCACGTTCTTCTTCGGCTCGTCCCTCTTCGGTTTCGCCTTCGGTGCCCCCGGCGGGTCGGTGGTCCAGTAGCGCGCGTTCTTCTCAGACAGACGCAGCGGTTTGCAGATCGCTACGTTCTTCGGCGTGCCCCCCGCCAGCCCCTCGGTCTTGTTTAGCTGTATGACTGGCTTCGGACGCCCCGCGTACACTTCCAGCTTCGGGTTGGAGTCAGACTTCCAGTCGTATTCGTGCTTCCGGCCATAATCCGACTTCCTATCGTATTCTGGCTTCTGGTGAAAGTCAATTTTCCGCCTGGAATCTGTTTTGTACGGCTCGTACAGTTCTCTAGAGCGACGCCTCTCTCCAATTCGAAAATCGTAGTAGTCCTTCTTGTATCTACGCGCTCTGTCGTTGTAGTAAGTGTAATTGCGCGGTAGCGTGCTGTACTTTGGCTCGTACGCAGTCGGTAGATTTAAATACTCGGGCCTAATGGGTCTGAACAGCGACAGACGTCCCTGCGCCTCCTCAAAATCCGAATAGATATCCTCGTAGACGAAGCCGTTTCTACGCCGCGGCCGATCGTAGCGCTCAAATCGCTCCCTGTAACGTTCGTTTCTTATCACTTCCGTACGTTGGGGAGCGTAGCGTCGCGATTCGTAGGGGCCCGCGTAGTACTTCGTATCGGCGCGCTCCGCTTCGTAGCGTCGTCTGTCGTAGTCATGTTCATAATCTGGCCGGTCGTAGAGCAACCTCTCCCTAGAGCCAGCCATTGTCTGCTTATTGCTCTCGACCCTGAAACAAAAGATTATATTTTAACACAGCCACTGCTAGTGAAGTAATTTTTTAAATGGAGTCGCGTAGACATTGCGGTACGCCTTTGCGAGAGAAACGGGGCATAATGGGCGACCTTGCGATATACGGACGGTACAGTATAGGCCGGTTGAACATAATTTCGCTTTGCGCCGTACTCATTTTACTCGCAGACGCCGCGACACGCCGACCTCCAAGAATATTCCAATTTGCTTTTGAGATTAAACTTTCTTTTTTGCGTGAAACGATAGCAACTTGCTTAAGGCACTTTGTTTTCATAATAACATCTAACTTCGGTTCATTGCGACCTTGGTGACATCTTCTATTTATATAACTAATATCTAAAATAGGAGATTTCATGAAGCTAAAAAGTACAAGAAAAAATCAATTTAGCATCTCCTATACATCAGCATCGATTCAAATAATACTCTTTTCTAGTGCAAACCAAAGATAATTTTCAAATTTCAATATGTCAGACTGTCAGTGGTAAGGGTACCTGATTGGGGTATTGGCTTCAGCGCTTCGATTCTCACACGAGGATTATATTTGTGGGCCTGAGATAATTGTTTCGGATGTGGTGTTTGTCCACGTGAAATGTATGTATGTAAAACTTACAACAAAGGATATTATTATCCTATACTAATAGAACAGTTTTTATACGATCTTTCTAGATCGCAGCGGTCGTCAGACCTGTAGTCCCGGGCGCATAGAATAGGGCTAAGGTATCCCCTGCCTGTCGTAAAAGACGACTAAAAGGGGACACGGATGAGCAGCTCTCGTGCTGTTGCAAGAGGGTGAGGGAATCGTAGAAGGTTTATCCTTCTCCGAGGCGTGCTCAGGCGTAGTGCGAGGGACACCGGTGCGTTCCGTGGGAGATCCCGGAGTCCCTCGAAATGTACGGAAGGCGGCCACCGAGGGGGTTTTAGTGGGTAAGAACCCCGCATAACCCTGTCATGTAAAGTGACAGGGTATCTTTCGAAGATTTCCCCCGCGATACCTTAGAACAAAAAAATGCGCAGCGGTCGTTTGGACATTCATAAAAATTACAAAAGTACATACCCTCAAGCTGTTAAAACTAAGTTAAAGCGATGCTGCTAACAGTACAATTTGATAGGTAGCTTAACAAAGTAGGAACCAAAATATAATACTTTATTAAATAATTATGATGAGCAACGAGATGCCACGGATAGAAAATGCAACTGATTGACTTAATCAGAGTCTCCGACGAACCAAACCTAAGTAACACTCGCGAATAATCCAATTAAACATCTGCCTCCGAGCATTACGTGTAGACTGAATACAAAATGAGATTTGTTACCATGTATATAATTCAGTGGAGTTGCATTGCACGCGAGTTCAATTGAGGTCAATATATAGGTACATATAAACGCATATATACAGTGCTAGTTCTATTAAATTAAATCCACAATTACCACAATTACATGAAGCGGTATAGGGTACGCCTTTTGGTTATATTTTATTGAAGAGATTTATAAACATAGGTACAAATGCATTAAAATCGTATCGAGAGTCGTATGGCGAAAAATAACGATCACGTCGTAAAAGTATGTAATTAAAGGAACGTTTGAAAAAATCACATTCCAAAGCCAACGCCAATTTTATATTATCTTCATTTCATATGTTCAATAAATAAACATATTTTAAACCACTAAATGGCAAATTAAAACTCTTTAATACTTAATATATTGCTATTATGCAAATCTAATCACTTAACATCATGTGAACAGCCAACACAATAAAACAACTCAGCACGTCGTCGTCACCATAAACGAAAAACGTCAAAATGACACGCGATTCAGTCCGTGAATTAATTTCATATAACCCTCTGTAGTTTTCGCGTTAACACAAGAAATCATTACGTGCAGACTATTTAAATAAGTACCAATGCAGTATGTTTACACTGTAGTACGTTTTGCATCCGTATGTTGCAAAGAAACAAAAACAATTGCTTGAAGATCACACGAACGCTTGTTACTAATTCTAAACAAAAATAGAGGTATAAAACCATGCGATAGTCGGATACTTCATCGGAATACAGTTTAAAGGAGGTGGAGCCAAGAGAGGAATTGACGCACTAAAAATATGGTCACATATAAAACAAAACACTCGATGGCATGACATCACTAAGGCTGCTTCACACCAGCGCTAGTGATGGACCGTTGTGCTATAGACAATTCATATGTTTGGACATATTAATTTTAAAAGTAATTTACAAAATTCCAAATAGTTTTCTTATGTGTACGGTATACACAAAAATTTGGTGATTTATTAATTATATACCCTAAAACAATTTAATCGATAACAGTTGAAATAGATTACAGAAAGTTAGGTTTTCAAAGAATAGTGGAGATATATTATTCCAGTAGCAAGTGGTGGCATATTAATTAAAAAAAAATAACATTTATTTAAATTATATCTTTTTATAAGTAATTCAAAATACAGTCTGTTTGGATACCTAAATAAGCTTTCCTGTTTACTTATTAAATATTATGTATCGATATAGGGCACATCACTACCTCACTGGCGCTTTGCCACTAAACTCGACTGGGCCATCGATAAATGTCGAATCGTAGCCGTCGAGGGACGTGCGGCATTACTCATGCCGGTCCACGGTCTACGCTGACAGTTGTTCACAAAATGGATGTACCATTTTTTTAAGTCTTCTTCTTCAATTTAAGAGCTAGGCTCTTGTCGGTGCAGCATTCCAGTAGTTCAGCTGTGTTATACCCTCTATCCTTCCCTGTTCATATCCTTTAACTCTCTATACGAACCAACATTAATCTTCTTTATTTGAGATGTAATAGCGTATCCGTCACCTTGAACTCGTAATTTTTTTGGCAACATACGTTTGTTAATTGATTCCTATTTTCTGTGTATTCATTTAATTTCCTCAAATCTTATTGGACCTGCTATTTCTTCGTGTTCAATTGCACATCACGACTGCAAGTATCTCGCAACCATTTTGTTGCATTTGCCAGCCATGTCTAATGTTAATACCGATTCCACGTACTTTGCGTCTATATACTTAACTTAGGAGAACTTGATTTTTATGGGACGGAAATTCAGTCTGAAACTGAATAAAGCCAAAACGACAAAAGGCGAGAACATCTTCTCTTACATGTCTTTTCCTTCAAAATATCTTTCACCAATAGAAATGCGATAGAAAAATGCCTTTTTATACTTGTCTTTTTTGTATCTTTAGGTCTAAATATTTTTTCTAATTTTTTTTTATATTTTTTATCTATTTGCGATAGAAAATGCGAGAGAGTACTCAGGGTATTAGAGCGTATCTACCTCGCGTCTAGTCCATGTTGGTTATTTATATATTTATATTTTTTATCATTTGTAAGGTACGATTATTTTTATTATTTGGAGGTGCTACGATTTATCTCGATGTTTTCCTAACGAAAAAAATTGTCAGTCAGCTTTAAATGGCAATTAACATTAACATTGATACCATCATTATGATTTGATCGCGGATTCTTCTTGGATACTAAATTAAAAGTGACTGGCCCGGCAACTGAGCTACCACGGCTCAAGAACATCGATGACCAGTATAATGAAACATGGGATTGGCTTAGCATTATTATATTCTATTTTTCTAAGATTACATTGCATAAAGATAAACAATTAGAATTCGTCTTTAGTTAACTTATATAACGAATTCAATTTATAATTAGATCTAATTTCAGATAGAAAAATACCTAAAGGTGAATACGTAGGGGTGGCAAAGTCGATTGAAGCCAATTTTGATCGATCGCTCGTGATGATATTGGGACTTGGAAACGATTTGACTATACGATATACAGAGCCCATTACTATTTACTGACAAACACTTCGATACCTATCTCTATTTAAAACACAGTATACATAGGGTGTATTTAACGCATCTTTTTTCCTACAGGGAAGGAACTTCTACTTTTATCTCAAAAAGGCATAGATTAGAACCGAGATTTCGAAACTTTTTGAGATAAAATGTGGAAGTTAAGTAAATAAAAGTTCACAAACTGTGATATAGCCTCGCGGCTCGTAAGTTAGTTATTATCTGTAGAACTCATGGACAAGTGTATCTCAAATGTTTGTTCCAATGTGTGTCAAATATTTGTATTACAACAGATGTGCGTAAAACGTCCTTACAACAAGGAGATGAAATGTTTAATTTTAATATTTAAAGAATGTTATGAAAGTAAAACTTAAATAACAGTACAAAATTATTTATTCTGATCAATTTTCAAATAAGAAAGGATTTAATACCTAACAGGTCCAGATACACGAATAGGGATGTACCACGTAACTACAGAAGACCGATGTGAAGTAGAAGTATTTGTACTTCTGGGTTTCGTATGATCAGTGAAGTAGCTTTACTACTTGCTAAACGAACTGCTTGTTTGCAAAACGAACTTCTGGAATATTATGAGTGTATATGGGCTGTCCCAATAATGGCTAAGTGGTGGGCTGAGTCCCAATAATCAATATATAAATAATAAAATATATGATTATTTTATAAAATTATACACATACTAGCGACCCGCCCCGGTTTTGTACGGGTGCAATGTATTATACATATAAACCTTCCTCTTGAAATACTCTATCTAGTAAAAAAACCGCATCAAGATTCGTTGCGTAGTTTTAAAGATCTAAGGGATACATAGGGACAGACAGACAGCATTGTTTTACATACAAGGGGACAGACAGACAGCTACGACTTTGTTTTACACTATGTAGTGATATAGCGCATAGAAGAATACACTTAAAAACAAGGTATCGATCTTAAAGAGGGTGGTAATTATCAGGATGATAATTATATGGCTTGATAATCATGATGCTAACACTAATAATGACAATCTTTCTGTATAGGCTAATTAATATATAATATAATTTACGGTGGCAGGGCCACGCAACCGTGTTCGCTGTTGCACGAATGGGCAAGTCCGTCTGG